GCCCCTGCACTGGGAATGAAGAGTCTTAACCACTGGACCACCAGGGAAGTCCCCCCAGACTTTGTTGATCATCTTTATGATCATTACCTTGAAATCTTTATTGGGATTGCTTATTTCCGCTTTGCTTATTTATTCTTCTAGGTTGTTGTTGTTGTTTTTTTAATAAATTTATTTATTTATTTTTAGCTGTGTTGGGTCTTCATTTCTGTGTGAGGGCTTTCTCTAGTTGTGGAGAGCAGGGGCCACTCTTCATTGCAGTGCACAGGGCCTCTCACTATCGTGGCCTCTCTTGTTGCAGAGCACAGGCTCCAGATGCGCAGGCTCAGTAGTTGTGGCTCATGGGCCTAGTTGCTCCACAGCATGTGGGATCTTCCCAGACCAGGGCTCGAACCCATGTCCCCTGCATTGGCAGGCAGATTCTCAACCACTGCACCACCAGGGAAGCCCCCTTTTTAAAAAAAATTTTTAAAGTTTATTTATTTTTAATTTAATTTTTAAATTTTTATTTATTTTTTTATTGGAGTATAGTTGCTTTACAATGTTGTATTAGTTTCTGCTGTATAGCAAAGTGAATCAGCTATACATATACACATATCCCTTCTTTTTTGGATTTCTTTCCCATTTAGGTCACCACGGAGCACCGAGTAGAGTTCCCTGTGCTATACAGTTGGTTCTCATTAGTTATCTATTTTATACATAGTAGTGTATATATGTTAATCTCAATCTCCCAATCCATCCCACTCTCCATTCCCTCCCTTCTCCTGCTTGGTATCCATACATTTGTTCTCTATGTCTGTGTCTCTATTTCTGCTTTGCATATAAGTTCATCTATACCATTTTTCTAGATCCCACATATATGTGTTAATATATATTTGTTTTTCTCTTTCTGACTTAACTTCACTCTTTATGACAGTCTCCAGGTCCATCCATGTCTCTGTAAATGGCACAATTTCATTCCTTTTTATGGCAGAGTAATATTCCATTGTATATATGTACCACATCTTCTTTATCCATTCCTTTGTTGATGGACATTTAATTTGCTTCCATGTCCTGGCTATTGTTGAATATTGTAACTAGTGCTGCAATGAACATCGGGTGCATGTATCTTTTTGAATTATGGTTTTCACAGGGTATATGCCCAGGAGTGGGATTGCTGGGTTGTATGGTAGCTCTATTTTTAGTTTCTTAAGGAACCTCCATACTGTTCTCCATAGTGGCTGTATCAATTTACATTCCCACCAACAGTATAGGAGGGTTCCCTTTTCTCCACACCCTCTCCAGCATTTATTGTTTATAGATTTTTTTTTTCTTTGGCAGTACGCAGGCCTCTCACTGTTGCGGCCTCTCCCGTTGTGGAGCACAGGCTCCGGACACGCAGGCTCAGCGGCCATGGCTCACAGGCCCAGCCACTCCGCGGCATGTGGGATCTTCCCGGACTGGGGCACGAACCCGTGTCCCCTGCATCGGCAGGCAGACTCTCAACCACTGCGCCACCAGGGAAGCCCAATGCTGAAGTTTTATTTGACCACCCAGAAAGTGTGATTTGGGGCTACGAACCTACAGTTTTGAGATTGTAACTTCTCAGGAAAGATACTATCTTGCCTCTCCACTCAGAAGTAAAACCGAAACCAAAAAGGTTCACTTGTAGTCCCTGGGGAGGGTGGGTAGTAGGCTGAATAATGACCCTCAAAGGCACCAGGTCCTAGTCTCTGGCATCTGTGAATGTGACCTTATTTGGGAAAAGGGTCTTTGCAGATGTGATTAAATTAAGGGTCTTGAGTTGGGTAAGTGATCCCGGATAATTATCTGTGGGGGCCTTAAATGCAACCACAAGTGTCTCTATCAGAGAGAGGCAGAGGGAGACACACATACAGAGGAAGAGCAGGTGATATGACTATGGGGCAGAGATTAGAGTGATGTTGCCGCAAGCCAAGGAATGCCAGCATTTGGAAGAGGCAGGAACAGTTTGTCCCCTAGAAACTCTGAAGACTTTTTCGACACAATTAAATTCACCTAGTGATACCGATTTTGGACTTCTGAAGTCCAGAACTGTGAGAGAATAAGTTTCTGTTGCTTTAAGTCACAAATTTTGTGACACGTTATTAGGGCAGCCACAGGAAACTGATATAAGGGTGGGATGGGATTCACTTATTCCTGGTTCAGGGTACCTTTTACAGGGTAGCGGACGCTCTTTGGGATTTCAGATTTATGGGGAGGCCTCCTTTACACCTCACCTTGAGTGAGCCCAGAGCTTTGTCTTCTGTCCCCTGAGTCCTTGTGAGGGGCTGACATCTACAGGGTTTGTCAAATGTCCTCAAGGTGAAAGGTGATACTTGACAAACTTCTCTAGGTTGCGGCCTCTGAATGTTCCTTCCTTCCTTGCTAGGAAACATCTGAAGTGTTGTTTTTTGAAACATAACATCCAGCTTTTTAGTTGACTTCATCTGAGGGTCAGGGAAATTGCCATCCTGCGGGACAGGGAAGTCTAGATGTAGTTCCCTAAGATTGCTGACATCTTGGGGGCCAAATGGTAGACATGTCTCCTTATTCATCGTGCAGAGACATGAGCAGATTTCATCATTAAAGAGGCGAGCAAGAGACACACGGAGTCATGAGGAGGATGGAATACGAGGGAGACCTCAGCAAACATCCATCAGTGGTGCGAGTTGGGGATGTATGCCTCGGGAGCGCGGGAGGCACTCAGACAGTGGACAGTGCATCTCTCAGTGTGGCTAGAGACCCCGGTGGCTGAGATGCCTCTGATTCCACTCCCACAACACAAAATATGGGGCGGGCCAGGGCGGCACCTCGGGTCAGCTCCTGGCCCTGGAGGGCCTGTGCCTTTCCTTGTCCCCGTCTTAGCCGCACCATGGCTCCCACTCTTGGTAGGAGGTTGTTACACCTGCAGTCTCCAGCTAGTCACTCTCAGGCTTCAGCTGGTCCCCCGAAGGCCTCCAGGATCTCCCAGCCCTGGGGGACAGGTGCTGCTGAAAATCCCTCTGCTGCGGAATCATGCAGAGATGTGACGGCTCACTCCTGTCTTACTCCTGTGCCCACCTGGGTGGGCTTTTAGGACTGGGAGATCCACATCCACTTTGTTTTGCTTTTGGAGGCCTGCTCGGGGTCTTAGTTTGCAACCACTGGAAACTGGCTCTGGCTGATAGAAGCAGGAAACGAGCGTCTCAACCTGATCCTGGGGAGCTCACAGAATCTCAGAAAGGGTTGGAGGAACAGCCTCGGGAGGACGCAGGCAGGAACAATGTCCAAATCAGACCTAGTCTGTTGCTGATGCTAGCTCCCCCTGGCTACTGGATGCTTCTCCCAGAACCCCTGCCTCTACTGCTGCCCTGCACCCACCTCCCCATCTTCCAACTGAAAGCTGGGCTGAAGCCCCGGTTATGTGCCTATAGTCCAGCAGCAAGGGGGCTGGAAAAGAGCAGGTGGCATTTTGAGCCCTTAAAAACGGTTGGAGGGGCTTCCCTTTCCTGGCGGCGCAGTGGTTGAGAGTCCGCCTGCCGATGCAGGGGTCGCGGGTTCGTGCCCCGGTCCGGGAGGATCCCCCATGCCATGGAGCGGCTGGGCCCGTGAGCCATGGCCGCTGAGCCTGCGCGTCCGGAGCCTGTGCTCCGCGACGCGAGAGGCCACAGCAGTGAGAGGCCCGCGTACAGCAAAAAAAAAAGAGGCTGGAAATGAGCAGGCGGCATTTTGAGTCCCTTCACACTTGCCAAGATGGAGATTCCTCAAACATATGAAGAGGGGTTTAGGCAGGGACTGGATGAATAATGGGGTATCTCCTTTCCTTCTCTCCCAAGTCAGGTGCATCTACACGTGTACAACTTGACAGCCCTCCTGTCACGCCTCCTTCAGGGAGGAAGAGCTGAACTGCGGAAGAGAATTAATTTCTCCCTTGTCATAATAGCCGCAGATTAGAATCAGGGGCGCTAAGAACCCAAAACATGGTGATCTCTCCCTCACATTATTGAAAGAAATTTAAAAATACTGAACACGGGTCAAGAGACTTCTGGTCTTTTCCCCCATGTTTTCTCTTTTAAAAAATGTCAAATTATTTCAAATAGTGGTTTTTCTATTCTGGGGACTTTTGATGGATCTGCTTTATTTGTCTGCTAGGACATTTGTTGCTGACCGAGGTTTGTGAAGTCAGTCACACCCATGAGATTATGTAGCTGGTAAGGCCAGCTACCGTTTATTGAGTGACTACTATGCGCTGGCACTGGGGTGGGCATTTTTCACCAAGCGTCACTAATCCTTACATCCCCAGGTACGGATGAGGAAACAGAGGTTACAGGCTAGTAAGTGTCTGAGGTAGAATTCAAAGCCCAGGGCCTTCTATTCTCTGAAGCTTCCCAGATGCTGTCGGGCCCCTGCGCCTGGCACAGTCCCTGGTTGACAGCAGGCAGGGACTGAGGAACATCCACTGAATCAATGAGCATTAAAGATGGCACACGAGAGCCTGGTTGAATCTGACAATCACACAGATGTAGTGTCATTAAACAAACGCACACGGATTAAACAGAGAATAAGACTTTAATTGAGAACCAGCATTATATATATAAAATGTGTCCACATAGAAAAATAAATCCAGTCAGTGTCCCTGAGAATCCACAAAGTCTGTGCTCTGTACACGTACAGTGTTTGCTGACGGTTACTTCTGAGTCGAGGCCATTTTTCACATCAGTCTATCGGCACTCTGGTCAGGTTTTACAGCACCTTGGGTTTTATTCCTCATTTTAAATATTTTTGTTTCTCACCATTTAAAACTTGTTTTTCGTTTTGTTTGTTGGGCCGTGTGGCTTGTGGGATCTTAGTTCCCCAACCAGGGATTGAACCCAGGGCCCCAGCAGTGAGAGTACCGAATCCTAACTACTGGACTGCCAGGGAATTCCCTGGAACTTTTTTATATTGAGTGAGCACATGAGGCTGAAAATCACACCTTCAGTGGCTAACTATTTTTTCAAATCATTAAGGCCTTTATAAGGTGGCTAGTTCCCAAGATGGAGTATTTGTGCCAAGTGAGCCTTTAAAATCCAGCTCCTTGGTGGTGTGGACGATGTCCCAGCATCTGAGGTTCTCAATTTGGGCGTTACTCAGCTGGTCTCAGCCCTTGTTTGTCGGTTGCTCTGATCACCCTCAGAGGCAGGCGTGAGAAGGAGGGGGTCACTGTGCCCGGCTGAGTGTGTTTCCTCCTTGGAGGCCAGCTCAGAGGATCCCTGCCCAGACAAGGTCCTAAGGCTGCAGCCCGCCCCAAGCTTCGGCTTGTGACTTTCAGACACTTCTGTGATGACGCTCAGTTTGTCAAAAACTTCATTCTCATCAGACAGTGGGAAGGAGAATAAGAGAAGTGTGCTGTGATGTGGGTGGTTCAGAAACTGAAGGAGAAAAAAAAAAGAGTTACTTATCAAATTTCCCCATTTCCTTTTCTGGGCTCACAGTTTTATACAGAACTCCTGGCTGGAAAACGCTGTTTTAAAAAAATGTGACAATAACAGCATGACACTTCCTCAAAAAATTAAAACTAGAATTACCATATGATCCAGCAATTCCACTTCTGGGTATACACCCATAAGAACTGAAAGCAGGGCCTCAGCTATATATATATATATATATATATATATATACACCCGTCGTCAGAGCAACATTATTCACAATAGACAAAGATGGAAGCGGTCCAAGGGCCCATCCATGGAGGACTGGATAAACAGAGCATGGTCTAGCCATACAACAGAATATTTTCTGCCTCAAAATGTAATGAAGCTGATACATGTTACAACATGGGTGAACCTTACGCTAAGTGAAATATGCCAGACAGGAAAGGACAAATGGTGCATGGTTCCACTTACACGAGGTACCTAGACAGAAAGTGATGGTGGTGGCCGGGGCCAGGGGGAGAAGGGAGATGGGGAGGTTTGTTTATCGGATACAGTTTCTGTCTTGCAAGATGAAAGGAGTCCTGTGACTGGAAGGTGGTGATGACTGCACAACAATGTTAATGTACTTAATACCACTCAACTGGACGCTTAAAAGTGGGTAAGGTGGTAAATTTTATGTTATGTGTATTTTACCTCAATTTAAAAAATGCGACAATAAACCTGCATCTCATTTGCTAAGTGATCACAGGTCCCCCTCTGAGAGTTCCTCTTGTAAACACAGAGGGAGACTTTTAGGATGATCACGATGCTGTGGGGCTGACGCAGCCTGGGCATCCTTGCCTCTAGGAAGCAGGGATGCTGTGAGCACGGGGTAGATGTGTCTTGGAATAACAGCTAGTCTCCTGTGCGTCCTCAGGCTGAGTTGGGGTGCTCCCCAGCAGCCTGTGTGTCCCTCTGTTTCAGCCCTCAGCTCCGTGGCGTCCAGCGTGGCAGCCACCAGCCACTTGAAACCTGGCTGGTCTGGATCTACGTGTGCTGGAGGTGTAAAACACATAGCTGATTTTGAAGACTTCGTATGAAAAAGAGAATGTAAATATTTCAACAATTAAAAAATATAATTAGGTGCATGCTGAAATGATATTTGGGATATATTGGGTTGCATAAAATGTATTATTAATATTAATTTCCTCTGTTCCTTTTTACTTTAAAAGTAACTGCGGCTACTAGCAAATTTAAAATCTATGTGCTTTGTTTCCATCTAGCCCGTTTTACGAACGATGACTCCTCGTGGCGTGTCCCTCCCAGCAGACGGGCTAGTTACAGACAGGAACCAGAGTCTAATCATCCTTGTCACTCCAACACTTCAACCATGAAGATGCCTATGTACGTTTCCTGCACCATCTGCTGAGTGCACGTTCTCCACTTTTCATCCTTGTAGGTTCACCGAGGCTCTTAAATCTTCAGGACGAGGTGCAGAAATATTCCTTAGAGCGTGGCATTTTTAACTTCTTTCCCTCAGTTGGTTCCACCTTTAAGGGATCAGTTAAGCCTTCTGAAAGTAATTTCCATACCTCAGCCCTCTGAGACGACTTAACGGAAATTCTACCGTCCCCCACCCCCACCAGCCAACGGAAGGGAAAGGCGGGGGTCAGAGGAATTTCGCCCAGATCCGTTGTGCAAAGGCGGTAGCTGCGGGGAGGAGGGACCTCCCCAAATGCTCCAATCCAGCGGAGCCACGGGAACAGACTGGAAGCTACCCTTGACCCTCCTGGGAGACAGGAGAGGAGAGAACAAAGCAAGACGCTCTAAATGTCAAGAAAGCGAAGAGCAGGCTGGTGGCAGGTTCAGAGTATCCGTGGTGGGTAAACCTCCCTATAGCTTTTTCAACTAAAAGTCTCCATCCCCAGCAAATCTCCCTCAACTCAAAATTAGCCTCTGGGCCATGGTTAATGAATTCTCTGCATTCTGAGTCAAGCTGGAGAATTTCATGATCTGAGGACCCTGATCTGCTCATGGGTTCCTGGCACATCCTTCGCTCTCACTCCGCTGGCCCCTCTCCAGCCTCCCCCGCCCAACCATATTTCTCACTGGCCCACAGTCAAGCCTGCCAAGTCTTCTAGCCTTGGAGGCTAGAGCTCCTGCCAACTGACCCCTTAATTAAACTCGTCTCTGGCTTTGATTTGCCCGATAGCACATTGTTGTCCCATCTGTCCTTTCCTGTCTGATGAGTCCCTTTGATGGTGAAGCCAGAAGCAAAAAAGCAGGTGCATGGTTTTGCTTTCTCTTGGCTCTCCATTTACAGAACACCTCCTACCCTGAGCAAAGGGCCCGCCCCTGTTTCTTCTTCCTGCTGCGAATAGGCTTCTCAGAAGTGCACCTCTAGAAGATGCGCGTCTCATCCTGCTGCTGCAGTCTTGCTGGCACTCTCGTTAGAAGGTTCTGGCTGCTCTGAGTCTCTTGCCTACAGTCACGCAGTCCACGTTCTATTCATGTCAGGAGCTGTGCTGCCCACACTTGTTCACTGGAGCTGAAACAGCTCCCAGCCAAGTCCCTGTCCAGGAACTGCCCTCCGCAGAAGGGAGCTGCCTTGTACAAGTCCTTCCCAGGGGCAGCCTGGACAATGGACTGGCCAGTGTGGGAACAAAGGCCCGACGTCAGCTACTACGACAACACGTTAACAGGCCCAGGAAAGCAAGAAGTGGCAAGGCCTCCCTAAGACACGCACTTCAGAGGGTGGGGAATCACCCTGTGAAGAGTCAGGGGCCTGTCACATCAGTTTTAGGGATCCCATGGAATAGGGAATGCCAGGACATCCTCTCCAGAGGAAGGGACCGTTATTGTGTCTTACCCGCCACCCCTACCAGGGAAGCACGATGCGAGGTGGGCCTCTTTGGGTTCTGCGGGGGCGGCATGTTCCACACCAGGAATATGGCTCCTGGTGTGAGTGATACAGAAGGCCACTGGCTCTGAGGGGGGCCTGGAGCAGGAAAGGGCCCCAAAGAGGGTACAGGCTTTGGAGCAAGCCATCCTAGCCACACCTCACATGGGCACACACCAAAGATGGTCCACAGCTGCACTGGAGCCCCAACTGGGGGCCCTGAATGGCAGTGGGGGGAAAGCTCCCAACAGGCAGAGCTCCGGGCCGTGCATCTGGTCATCCCCTTTGTGTGGCAAGAAAAGTGGCCCAAGATCAGGCACTCATGGAATCCGAGGCAGAGGCTGACGGCGAGGCTGGTGGCCAGGGGCCAGAGGAAGGGAGACTGGAAGGGCAGCACAAGGGAGTCCGGAAAGAGGTGCGTGGATGGACTGTGGGAGCAGCTCCAAGGGGGGAGGTCTCTGGACCACATATGAGCTCCGAGACCCAGAGCGGGGCCCTCTGCCAGTGGAGCTCTGTCAGGCCTCAGCAGTGCCGGCCACGGCCCTGCAGGATAGGGACAGCCGATCATTCCCAAAACAGGTGTCAACTCCAGTCAGAGTGCACTGGTGCCCCTTCCAGAGTCCATGCCTCAGAATGTGACTTTATTTGGAGATAGGTCCTTACAGAGGTAATCAACTTAGAGGAGCTCATTAGGGTGGGCCCTGATCTGATCTGAGGAGATGTGGACACAGATGGGAGAACGCCATGTGAAGATGAGGGTGAGATGGGGGGAAGCTTCTGCAGACTAAGGAACCAAAGGTTGCCAGCAACCGCCGGCAGCCTAGGGAATGACCGGGAGCGGCTTCTCCCTCACAGCCCTTGGAAGGAACTGACCCTGCCGACACCTGCATCTTGGACTTCCAGCTTCCAGGACCTTGAGACAATACGTGTCTGTGGTTTAAGCCGCCTAGCGTGTGGTACTCTGTTATGGTGGCCCGTGCTGACTAACACAGACCTCACATTACATCATGTCAGGCCATGGGACCCCAGGACAGCGGAGGAGGCCAGGAGTGCAATACCCGGATGGGATCGCCTGCAGGGCCACCCACCCAGCGTCTGCCAGCCTGGAAGGACGACGGCTGGCCCGCTGAAGGTACGGGGGTAGGGGGGGATTGGGGAGTGGTGCCAGCTTGGAGACGGTGCCCTGTGAGGACCGGCCATCGTCCTCCAGCACCAGGCATGCACTGAGAATCAGACAGTATGTGACAGTGTGTCCCCAGGAAGGAGAGCACAGGGGCTCAGGGATCAAGGGGTAGAGGGAGGAGTGGCCCTGCCTGCCATCGCTCCCGCTGGCTCACTTGGGGAACTGGTATCCATGCAATCTTAGGCTCTGTGAGCTCAGAGCAGGGGTCAGCAAGCTATGGCCCAGGGGCCGAAACCATGTTTCTTTGTATGGCTCAGGAGTTAAGCACGGTTTTAGAGTTGTACGTGATGCCATTTAAGTGGTGACATAAGTATCTACATAATATCTCAATCTTGGTCTCAAAGCCTAAAACAGTTACTATCCCAGTGGGGGACATTTCCACCAGGAGACACAGTAGGGATCCCATCGAACTTTAAGTGATAGCTGCCACCTCGTCATGCCAGGATCCTTGTGCCAAGAAACTAGCCAGCAAGGAAAGGAGTCACCACACGGGTCATCAGGAGGAGAGAAGGCTGCTGCTACATGATGGGGGCACCCAGCTGGGTGATGGGGCATCTCATGGTATTGGGACTTCCCCTGCCCAATTCTGATGGCAAGTGGATAAGCACAAGTGCCCAGATCTCTGGTGTCCTGTGACCAGGGGCTCAGTCCTCGCAGAGCGGAGGGCCTGAGTCACCCCATCAGGTCAGTAGCCTATGTCAGCAGCGGCTGGCCAGGGGAGAGGGAACTCTAGAAGGGAGAGCCGAGCAGCGGGTGTTACTTGTGCCCGTGGGACCAGCTGCAGTGATGGGGCTGGGCCTTGTTCAGTTAACCTTCCTCTTGTAACCTTCCCCGGGGGAAGAGATCGACTAAGCTCCTCGAGAAGCTGTGCTCGTGGGTCCTGGTGGTTTATGGGGTGGGCTGGAGTGGACGCTGCAATGTGCCACCCAGATGTCCTTCAGGAAGGAGGAACTTGCTCCCCTGGCTGCTGGGAGTGGGGCTGCCTCCCCGCTGAGCATCTCCCACAAGATTCCCGGGGCTGAAGGAGCTGCCACATCTAGTCACACCTCCTTCCTGGGGGCGCCCACACCCAGCCCAAGGGTAATGTGGGCCCGCGGGCCCTCTAGCCTCAGCCCTGGACATCTCTAAAGAGCCACTCCAGCTCCAGAGCCCCTTCAGGACTGGCATCGTATCCCTCATCCCATCCTGCTGCCCTCTCTCCCGTAGAGGTGTTACTCCCAAGGCTACCTCCACTAAGACTTCTGAATGCAAATCTCCATTTTAGAGTCTGTTTCCTGTGGAATGAGGCCAAAGACAGGATCATCTGGGGCTGAGCCTGGCATATTTTCATTTCTAAGTGTGAGAGTATAGCCAGGATGATTTCATTTCTTAAGGCCACTTCCGTCCTACAGTCTCTATCCAGGTACATCCTTTCTTCTTCCCAAACCTTTTGAAAATAGCTTTCTTGAAAAAAAAAAAAAATTGCTTTCCTAAAGTCTCGGACACACATTCCGTAATTTCAATCACTCTCAGATATCCCACAGCTGAAACCGCACTTACCCCTCCCTCCCATCCTCTGCCCATGGCTGTTCGCTGGCACTCAGCCTAGTTTTCCCTCTCTCATCTTTTCTGCTCCGAGCTCTGCTTTACCTCTTCCTGTCCCAGGACCATCACCTTTGCTCCCTGATGACTTGGGGCTCGGGGCAGGGAAGGTCGGAGAAGGAACAACGTCCAGGCTGGAGGGCGGGATTCGGAAAACAAACCTTTACCCCCTCCCGTAGGTCTGTCCCATGAGCTCAGACTTCCCTGGAGTGGCGCCAGGGATGGGACCAGAGTGCAAGGTGCGTGTCACTCTCCAGGAAACCACGCTGCGCTGAGTTAGGCGGCCCTGACTTACAAGGACAACTTCTGGTCAGTGTTTCCGAATCCACACCTGGCTCCATCCTGCTACCTACCTCTTTCAGGTGCTGTGGAAGAGAATTCCTCGGGGGGATGGCATGCTTGGCCTTCCTGTAAACGCACCGCAGCAAGACGAAGCAGCCAGTGAGCGTCAGGAGGGCGGTGCACACCGAGGCTCCCAGGACCCCGGCCACAATCCAGGAGGGGGCGATTTCTGCAGGGACAAGGGGCTGGGTCATGTTCTTGTCAGGCACAGATTGGCTGACAGTGACCGTAACGCTATGTTCACCATCACAATCCAATGGTAACCCCTGACCGTTGGGAGGACCCACACGTTTGTCTCGGAAGGCGTGAGGAGGAAACCCAGCAGCTGTTCAAGGATCCAGAGCTTTCCAAGTCTCACCCTTTCCTGTCTTCCTCCAAGTTGGGTTCTGGCATTACTGCTGGTACACACAAAAAGCAGCAGCCGCAAGATCTCTGACCCACTTTATCTACTTACAGGGTAGCAATCAGCTCCCTGGTGGGGATAAAGCTCTTCTGCCTTGAAGCAGAAAACATGACTCCCTGGGCCCCAGAGCCCCGGTGAAACACACGCGCTACAGCGTTCTGAACCGAGAACTGCACAGATGACCCCACCTGATCCCCTGCACTCAGAGACCTCCCCCAACAATGTGGTCGCCAGCAGCCTAAGGCTGAGCTCTGGGACCACCCAGCACCCCCCTGAGCTCCTCTCTGGAAAAACTCAAGGCTACCAAAAGAATTCACCTTTGTTCTGCCAACTCTTGACCTTCCTTTCTTAGTGCATTTTCACAAAAAGCTCGGGACTGTAAATCTTTCCTCTGTCCCTTTGGGACCTACATGTATCTCCTACAACCAAGGAGCGTCTTTCTCAAGGACCTGAAAGCCATTTCTTTGAAATGTCATCATCGGGAAGGAGTGAGCCTCCGTCTAAGAGTTCCAGTGGGACCTACCCTGGCATGGTTGGTGACACTATGATGAACCCCTGGGGGACAGTGCCTGGGTCTCCTTGGGTCTCCAACCCAGACATTTTAGCATCTTAGACAAGGACATTCCACAGGCACACCTGGTTGATGGTGACAAAATTCAAAGGATGCTTCTGTGACTCACCACGAGGGGGAAATGGGGAAGGAGAGCAGACACTGTTTTACACAGGCTGTGAATTGTGGAAGAATCTGGTGATCAACACCCTCTATATAAGGCTCTCTAACTTGTTTCAGTCTGTCTGATCATGCTGTCAGGTGGACTCCCTTCCTGTTTCACCCACAGGGAAATCGTGCCTTTGCTTACCTATGGGATTAATCTGTAGGCAGTGGGCTTAGATATTACTTCCTTCCTGTCATTTACTAGCTGAGCAACTCTGGGCCAGTTACTTCACTTCTCTGGACCTTCATCTTCCGTCTCTGGAAGGGGAGAAGAGCCTTTCAATGCTCTCATTGAAAACTTGTGAGGTTTAAATGAGAGAACTATGTTTAAAACAACCTAAAATGATGTTTGACAAAAGCAGATTTTCAGTGGGCTATACTTTTCCTTTCCTTTTAAAAAAAAATTTATTTATTTATTTATTTTTGGCTGCGTTGGGTCTTTGTTGCTGTGCGCGGGCTTTTTCTAGTTGCGGCGAGCAGGGGCTACTCTTCCTTGCGGTGCGCAGGCTTCTCACTGCGGCGATTTCTCTTGCTGCGGAGCACGGGCTCTAGGCACTCGGGCTTCAGTAGTTGTGGCACATGGGCTCAGTAGTTGTGGCACGTGGGCTCTAGAGCACAGGCTCAGTAGTTGTGGCACATTGGCTTAGTTGCTCCGTGTCATGTGAGATCTTCCCAGATCAGGGACCGAACCCGTGTCCCCTGCATTGGCAGGCAGATTCTTAACCACCGAGCCACCAGGGAAGCCCTACTTTTCCTTTTCTTTTAAAAAATGTTTGGATTTTGTCAGTTAATGGGTGATCACTTAAGAGTCACGAAATATTGGAAATAGTTCTCTTTTCCGTCAAAGTGTATGCCTCATGCCATGTTTCATGACATAAACCTTAAGGAATATTTAAATGTATGATTTTAATAATGTTCTTATTAATAACGGTAATGACATCTAACCCATATTGCGGGCTCACTCTGTGCCTGGCGCTGTCCTGGGTGACACCCTTTGCTTCCCCTCATTTTGCAGATGAGGCGGCCAAGGCACCAGGCAGTTCAGGATGTGCCCCACACCACTCGTTACATTGGAGTTCACAGCAGGGAAGGACGGGACACAGGACAACCGGGCATGTACTCAGGCTTGGGGAAAGCAGTTGGCAGGTGTTTAGAGGAAAGAGGGATGATTCCAAGGTCAGGGATTCTAGTGATTCAAGCTGGATGGGGATTCCCAAAGCACAGAATTCTGACTCAAGCACAAATGATTCATGAAAGGAATAAAAAGACAAGCTCTTGTTATTTAACGGTGCTGTTGAGAGGCTTAGCCATGGCAGGAGGAACACAGGCAGGTCGACTCAGCCTCAGATAGAGGTGTGGCACTGGACAGGGAACTACAGAAAAAGAAAGGAGACTGACAGAGAATTCCCTCCAGAGAGACAGCAAGACTTTCCATCTTCTGTATGGCTCTGCACTCCTGACCAAATTTGCTTAATATGATTGTAGAACAGCTTCGGATGGCACTGAAAAGATCACGTGCCTGGGTGAGGTGAAAGATTCCTAGATTCAGGCAAGTAATTTGTGCATTTCCAGAACGAAGGAAGAAAACCCAACAACAAGATTCAGGAAACTCCAGGATGGAAAGCTTGATGATGTGATATCCAGAAAAAAAGACAGACATTCTGGAATGGATGGTTAAGTGGCTAATTACAAATACTTAAGAAAGATAAGGACAATAACAAAAAATAATAACATGAGGCCACCGAGAGGAAATTGGCTCAAAGTGGCTGCCTTTCCTTTTTTGGACAGGGTTACTTGTTGGTAAATTATGGCACATTATGGGCTCGTTTTTCCCCAGCTGTTTTCCTTGGAATGCTCATCCTCAAAAAAGATGCTGAAAGATCAAATATGCTAAAAATGCTAATATACAGGGTGACTTTTCTGAGAGAGAAATCATTTCCAAGCACATCTGACAACCGGGCTCTTGTTTTGAGAAATATCCCATAATCACTCATGGGACACAGTTGTGACAATGCTGCACTTGGCAATGGGTGTCAATTTCAGCTGATATTTGCCAAAGTCTTTCATGGTGACTTTGTGGACAGTAAAACAAAATAGCTTACATAATAGTTCACTATATTCAGATGGATTGGTGACCAGTAAGCAACTAGTTAAGTGGTCTAGAGGAAGGTATATCCTAGACACACCAACAGTTTAATCAACAAACTGGAAAGGATCCTGAACCTCCTACCAGCAAATCAGTTGATGAGACAAAGCAAAACAGGGAGAGAAATATGTTCAATGACAAAAACCAACACTGACGAAGAACCTGATAAGCTGAAATGATGAAGCACTGTGATGGCAGCACTGCAATTGCCTCAGAACGGCAGTGACACAGAAGATGAAAAGTTTTACTCTCTCTCTGGAGGGAATTCTTTATTACTCTCCTTTGTATTTCTGTAGCCCCCAGATCAGCACCTTGCTTCCAGGAGGGCCTCCGTAAATGAAAATGGTCAGGAGCAGACCTGCATGTATGCATCCTTTTGCGGTCTGAGCTGGCGGAACCTCTGGACATCTTTAAGTAACAAAAAGGCCCCCAAGGGCCTGACGTTTGTACACAGACATCTAGGCCACAAGTTTTTATCATTCTGTACGCCAATGCAATGCATCCGTACAAAATTACTCAGTGTCTAGGCCAACTGGTACCCTCCCCCTACCTCTTTTCCTCCTTCCCTTCCTCCTTCCCCATGTTTTTTTTTTTAAGAAACACCAAGCGTGGAGGCACTCTGCTAGACACTGCGGTACACATCATATGTGGGGGACTGTGTTGAGGTCCTGAATTCACGAGGAACCCTAAAACCAGCTTGCTGAGGACAGTGAAGGGGTTTCCAAACTCTTCCCATCACGTGCCTGAAGGAACTGGAGATGCACAGCCTCGGAAGGAAAGTCTTCTGGCGGGGCGTAGGGCTCGACCTTGGCTGGGTGGGCTTGGGAGGACTGAGACTTGCTTCAGGGAGCCCAAGAGGACAGAACGAGCACACTGGAGGCGGACGCGTGGAGGGAGACCTCAGCTCCCCGGACGGAAGGATCTCCCATCAATCCCTTTGGTCTAGGAGTGAACGAGCTGCCTCAGAAGGTGGGGTCTCCTTCCCAGCATGAGGCGGTCAGTCGTGGCTGAACTGGGCGGGAGTTTGAGCTGGATGACGATCTCTAAGGAGCCTTCCGGCCCTCGCACTCCTGGGGAGTCTCTAAAGCTACTTAAGATGCTCAGATGAGGGACTTCCCTGGAGGTCCAGGGGTTAGGACTCCGCGCTTCCACTTTAGGGGGCGTGGGTTCGATCCCTGGTCGGGGGACCAATATCCCACAAGCTGCATGGTGCCCTCCCATCAGAAAAAAGATGCTCAGAGGAGACAGAACTGCAGACAGTGCATCTCGAGACTCACCGTCAGCAATTGTTTGCTCACAGACAGGCTCACTCCACTCCCCCGTTTTGTTCCGATCAGGAAGAAACCCTCGAACTTGAACACAGTAAGTTGTCTGTGACTCAAGATTTCGGAGGACCTCGAAGTCATACTGACCAGTAACTGGAAACTAGTAACAGAGACAAAAATAAGAACATGCCTCAGCAGTGAAGGGACGTCCTCTTTTCTCCCCCGCCCTCGCCCCACTTACTGGTTATAATCTTTCCTTCAGGCTCAAAATAGGAGGATGAAGGAAGCAGGTGCTCCTCCTGGGTCGTCTCAGGGGCCCCGGAGACCATCCTGAGGTCGGGGTGGGCAGGGCAAGGACTGACCACGGTCCTGCCAAACCACCTCATGCCCTGAATTCTCCAGTTTAAATGACATACAAGCCATCCCACTTCCTTTTTTTAAAAAAATAAACCAGTTGTATGGGTTGAATTTCGCCCCTCCCAAATTCGATGTTGAAGTCCTAACCCCTAGTACCTTCAAAAGTGACTTGGTTGGATAGAGGGTCTTTACGGATGTAATCAACGTAAATGAGGTCATTAGCGTGGGCCCCAATCCAATACGACTGGTGTCCTTATAAGGAGAAAATTTACACACAGACGTGCACACAGAATGCCACGTAAGGATGAGGCAGGGATTGGGGTGATGCCTCTATATACTAAGGACCCAAAGAAAGATTGCCAGCACCCACCAGAAGCTGGGCGAGAGGCCCGGAACAGATCCTTTCTCATGGTCCTTAGAAGGAACCAATCCTGCTGACACTTTGATCTTGAACTTCCAGCCTCTAGAACCTTGAGACAATACATTTCTGTTGTTTCATCCACCCAGTTTACAGTACTTTGTTAAAGCAGCCCTGGCAAATGAACACACCAGTCATCTACAGTAAGACTCAGTGTGATTTTCTGGCGAATGAACACACAAGTCATCTACAGTAAGACTCGGTGTGATTTTCTAAGTCCAGAGCATGTTCCTGACAAGGCTGCCTGGGGGTCTCCTCTGAATCACCTCTCCATTCACGAACCTGAGCTGCCCGCCCCCAAGCGGCTCAACTCCCCTTGAGGGCACACCCCTCAGCCTAACTCTGGTGGGGGCATCCCAGACTCATCTTAGTTTAATTTAAATATATCATAATTGATGATGTATTTCTGAATTTGAGAAACCAAAATAGTTTACAGCAAAATAAAGGGTACATACTGCCTGTATTTCCAGCATGGTTACAATTTCCTCACAGAAGGGCCTTATGAAAAATCTGTTACGTGAATAGGAGCTGCAATAGAAAGTGAGCACAGACTCTGTTTTTACTTTAGTGATTGGCTACTTTTCTTTGGGGGCTGGGCCTGCTGACAGCTTGATTCCTTTATTGTATAAGAAGCTAAGCTCACTGAAGGCGAGAATTGGATTTTACCAGCTGAAAAAATGAAGAGTGCAGTATAACTTCTAATTATTAAAAGCAGAAATAAAAACAAAAAACCCCTGGCTTTCACTTCCAGGAACCCAATACTTCTAAAACCTTACAATGCATTTTTTTCCAGGCTAAACTCAGGGGCTGACACGTCAGAAGCATACATGGAAGAGGGTGGCACGGACGTGAGGGCTTTTCTAGCCTTTTTTTCGCTTCTGGACAACTTCTGATTTTTCTCACTTTCTCCCATCAGGAAGAAAGAGTTTCTAAGAGCTTTTAATGCTCTTAGCTCGGCGACCTAATATGGCACTCTCTCAGAGACACCTGCATTCTAAAAGGGAACCATTTAATCTTATTTCTTTCAGGCTGCTCTAACAATACCAATGCCTGGGTGTTTATCAACATTTATTTCCCACAGTTTTGGAGGCTGGGAAGTCCAAGATCAAGGCACTGGCAGATCTGGTGTCTGAGGAGGGCGTGCTTCCTGGTCCATAGCTGGGTCTTCTCAGGAGTCCTCACATGGTGGAAGGGGCAAGGGAGCTCTCTGGGGCCTCCTTTAAAAGGGCACTAATCCCATTCATGAGGGCTCCACCTTTATGACCTAATCACCTCCCAAAGGCTCCACGTCCTACTACCATCACACTGGGGATTAGGTTTCAAAGTATGAATTTGCAGGGGAGTGTGGGTGGGGTGGGGAGAGGAGGAAGGGAACACAAACGCTGAGTCTATAGCACCTATAAACTGGTAAAGGTGACCCTGCAGGCACGGTGAGGGAGGCACTGGGAAGCAGGCAGCCTTTCCAAAACTCTGTGTGTCACACCAAAGTCTTCCACACTGCAGGCAGAGTGAAGGCACAAATGTGTAACCATATGCCTCTCCTGAGGGCATATTCTAGGTAAGAAGCTAAAGCGATAAACTGGGTTTTGAATTTCATGCCTGGGGTAGGAGGCACTCAGGCCTGGTAACTGTGGAATCTGATCCTTAATCACAGCAGGCTGCAAGCTCCAGGAGTTATCCTCATACCCCAGACTTTAGCAGGGACACTTGCATTTGATAAGTGACCATAAAACTTTCTGTGTTGCTTCCTAGGCACACAAATCCTGGGGTCTTGACTATAAGCAAAATCATCTATTCTGTGAAGAAGGCAGATACCCTGCGTCAGTTAACGAAGCATTTTTAAAAACAAGTATAGTTGATATACAATATCTTATTGGTTTCAGGTGTGCAGCATAGTGATCTGACATTTATATACGTTACAAATTGATCGCAACAGAGCCTTTTTGGGGGAGGGAAATTAACGTGAGATTTTTGGGGGGCTACATAGTATGCAGATATAAATTTAATTACATCATTCCTCAGACAATATACACGGGTGACCCTTTCTTCCCAAACGCTTGAGAATCAGTGATAAAATCAACATTTAATGCAGAGGAGATAACATATGCATAACTTAACTTACATATGATATACGTAAGTTAGTTCAGGACCACAGATGGCATCCAACTCAGAAGCACTAAGTGTAAGAGTTGATGAATGAAAATAGTCGTAACACGTCTACACAAGGGGACGGGAACCTCACGTATTGACCATACCCATTGTTCAGGTAACGGGACAAGCTTACTTTTTTCATTATGTCATTAAAGTCCTCAACAATCCTATAAAGTAGGTTATTGTCCCCACTTTATTAATGAAGTGGATTATATGCCCATTTTGCAGACCCGAGAAGCTGAGGTCAAGAATGTGACTAGAGTCACACAATGGCAGGGGCAACGTTCCAACAGGATCTTTCCACTCCCAGCCCATGTTGTGAAAGGCACTGTCCCTGGAAGAGGAGGAAAGCAATGGGGAAAAGTGGGGTCAGTCCAATAAAATGTGACACCCACCATTCATCCAGGGCTGGGGCTGCCCTGGACACGGACTTGACTATTCTGTGGTGTACTGGGGCCTCATGCCATGAAACAGTAGACATTCACTGATCACCTGACTCCGCTGACTCCGAGTTCCGCCAGCCAACAGCTGAGTCAGCTCTGCCTTCTTAGGCAACTTCCCTTTGGGGAGGGAAAGGCCTGAGCTCCTGCACCAGCACCCAGGAAGTCTGCTCTGTGCACTGCCCTTGTGGAATGGGAAGCATGACCTGACATACCGGCCATCCCCCACAATGGGAAGCTTCTGGAGCTCAAAGGACCAGGCCTGAGATCCTCTGGACCAGCGGTCCCCAACCTTTTTGGTACCAGGCACCGGTTTCGTGGAAGACAATTTTTCCAAGGACCGGGGGCGGGGGTTGGGGGTGGTGGTGGTTTTGGGATGATTTATTTATTGTGCAGTTTCTTTCTTTCTTTATTTATTGTGCAGTTTATTTCTATTATTATTACATCAGCTCCACCTCAGATCATCAGGCATTAGATCCTGGGTGTTGGGGACCCCTGCTCTGGACCATAAGGGGCTGCCACCTGGCAAAGCCTCCCTCCGACCAACACTGAGCAAAGGAGAGGCACTTCCATCTGCGATGCATGCGATTGGCCGTGCTTACCTTTTCGTCTGAGCCATTTTTCCAATATTGCACATGATAAGTCCATGAGTTATAAATATTCCTCATGCTCCATGTTTCAGGTTCATTCTTAATTTTCGGGGCTAAGAAACGCATATGTAAAGAATTAGCAAGTGCTTCTACTTGGATTCTGGGAGGTCCGATAATGGCTAAGTATGAGAACAAAGAAAATGACAATCAAAATTCACATGTTAAAAACATCAACATTTACTTTTCGTAACTGGGCAGACCGACTGGGCTACTGAAGTGCTCTGCCCTGTGATACACTGCTGAGGTGACGCTGACAGACGTGGCTAAGGAGGATTCTTGGATTTTGTTTCTTGAAAAAAAACAAAAAAATCTATTAATCTTTGTCTTCATTAATCAGGTTTAGTCCATTTACGTTTACTGTGATTTGATCTATTTGGAATTATTCCAACTACGTTACTTTTTGTTTTCTGTAAAGAGTCCCATTTTGTGTTTTCAATTCCTCTCCCCTTTTTTTCTTTCTGTTGGGTTGAATTTTCTTTATTTCCATTGTTGGGTTGGAAGCAACAGATGGTATTTCTATTTTTAGTGTTTAGTGTTGAACCTATATAATTAAGCCACTTTCCAGCAAATACATTTTCCAACAAAGTCTGAAACTAGATCTTCCCAGACCAGGGCTTGAACCCGTGTCCCCTGCACTGGCAGGCGGATTCTCAACCGCTGCGCCACCAGGGAAGTCCTAGGCACTCCTTCTAATGCATAACTCGATCCGCTCTTTGGAGGGCTGCACTTGAGTTTTGTTCAGGAGTTTGTTCTCCTCTTCATTCTCTCAATTGCTATCTGGTGGCTTAATTAGTTTTCAATTCCTGATGTTCTAATGATGTTCATTTCATGACCTCTGGTGGGTCCCATGACCTTCCCGCTCTAACCCGGCAATATTTTTTTCAATGCCGACCAGCCAGCCTGACCCAACCCATCTGCCACCAGCTGTATCCGTCCCTCTGTCCTTCATCCTGGGCCAGCTGGTCTTTCTGTCTCTACACCTGCCTAAAATCAGTCTTTATTCTTCTGCTGATTGCATCACATTTCTTTAAGTCATGATTCCAAACTGACTTCCTCCTCCAAAATTCAACACACAAATCCTTCTAGTTTTTCTCATTAACAGCACTGGCTCCAACTCGTTTTTACCCTCGAGGCATTAAAGTCATCAAATTTATATCTAATGATCTTATTGCTTTATGCCTATCCTGTCCTATCTCTCCCACAAACTTCTTTAAGGCCACAGCCCTTTTTATTACATTCCCTAAGCTCCTCGTGCAAGGCCATCCACTTGGTGGGCACTCAAAGAATTCTTGCTGACGGGCCAACCAAAGGGGAAATAATCAAGGCAAGATGATGACATAACAACAAAATAAAAACCAAGATGGCTTACTGTCATCCACAGGACAGAAGGTGATGTTTATCCAGTCTGAATGCTCGTCTTCAAATTGAGCCCTGACCCTCAAGGTGTGGTCACCATACTTGGAAAGACTTGAGAAATCACATTCCGTCAAGACAGTACTTGTGCATATATCTTGGAATTTCCTATAACTACAAAATCAGAAGAAATCATGAGAGTTCTAACCTCAGTCGCTCTGAGGCTGACTGACGCTTTGTTCTTCTGCTACCAAAGGATAATGGAGGATAACATGAGAAGAATAAAGCAAATTCTTTACTGTCAATTTCAAAGAATCCTATGTATCATTCATACGAGCATTTTCCAAACTGTGCTCCATGGAACCTTAATGATCCTTGAGGTATCATAAGACATTTCAAAAACAATCCATCCCAGTCAAACAATTTGGGGCAAAAATTGGGTGAGACACGAACAGGTGTCTGTCTTCGCAACAGAACTGCTCAGAGACTTTCATATCCTAATAAAACGTGTCTTTCCAAAAAGGGGTTGAGTATTCAACACATTTGACCAAGAAAGCTGCCTTCTTTGACTATGTATTTCTGAAACTTGTGGGGCATGGTTTGTGAAATGTTGATATTCACAGATTAGCCAAAATAAGTGTATCACAATGATTTCAAATAATGTCTTGTAAGTGACTATTGTTCAGTTATGCTGGAAAAATTATAAAATTCGTTGACCTCAGATCTCCATCCAGCCCTGGCACCAACCCCTGAAGGGAGGGTGGCAGAAACATGAAGTGGAAGGAAAGGAATGTTTGAGGAAACCTACCAGGTGCGTGTACCTTAACCTCACAACAGCCAAAGGAGCTATAATTAGCTCCACCTGATGTAAGGAAATCCAGGCTCTGGTCTTGCAAAAAGTAAGAATCTTGTCTGACTGGCACCTTCCTGTCTTTGTGCCAAAACCAATCTGGCTACCCTAAGAGGTAATAATGAAGGTGATGGTGATAAAAATAATAACAGCCAACACTTGTCGAGCATGTAGGTGTCAGGTGGGGCACTGATTTCACAGTATTATCTCATTGAATTTTCACAACCGCAGGAAGGCGGAAGTGACATCACTCCTATTTTATAGGTGAGGCACCGGTGTGGAGAGCCTAAGACACTCCCCCGTGGGACTTGGGTCTGCTTGACTTCAGAGTCCATTGCCTCAGGCACCATTCCACAGTCCACTGCACTCTTAGGAGGCAGAGATAGTTGAACTTATGCTATTTCACTGTCTGCTTTTTTCACTTAATAGACCACAAACATTTCTCTAATCAATCAAGTCTTAGTCAAGTCAAGTGGCTGCCTAACAACCCATCATTGGGGAAATCCAAGGGTCATTTCACGAAGGGGGTTTTCTCACATTGGCCATTTCTTTCCATGCATTTAAACTAATGCATGAATTGGGTGGAACGCAGAACATTGCAAGAGTTGTTCTGCAATAACTTCTGTTTCACTGGGTCATTTTTATTGCATCTACAGATACTTTTCTCCCCATTAAGTAGCTAATAGGATCTATTCCCCATATTTACATCTAATTGTTTTAGATGTTTCCATATTCAACTCACCAAGCCATCCTCTGAAGTTCCCTCCACCACCGGCCAGCCCTACCCAATGTACACATACAACAAGAATTTGTACTATGCAACTGCTCAGGTTAAATTCTCATCAAACCTCTTCCAGAGCCACAGAAGGGTAATCAGATTTTTCAGGATCAAATTTCTTCCACACCCAGCACGTGTTTTGTTTTCCCCAGCACAGGCCATGCTTGGTCTGCAAGTCTATGCTGAGGAGACCTGGAACCCAGGTATCCATTCTTGGTTGTTGGGAGCTCTCATCTAAAAGACAAACACCTAAAACCAAACAGCTCTACTCCAATGGCAAAGAAGCAAAGAACAGAACAAGAGATAAACCACAGGGGAGAGGGACAGACAGGGAGGGAAGCTCATTTTCCACCGTGAAATCCCTAGAGCTATCAAGACAGAGTGGAGAAAACACAGACGAAATTATAAAACCAGTCAGTGCCAGGAAATACACCACAGGAGAAAAATAAATCTCAGAATGATGCTTATTAATTAAGTCCTTGGGGAAACTGACAAAACTGGAATATGGACTTAAAGGACTGTATCATCGGTGAAGCTACCAAATCTTGATAACTGCACCACAGCGATGTGAAAGGTTATCCTTGCTCTTCTGAAGTACACGATGAAATATTAAGGGGCAAAAGCAAGAAAATGTGGTGAACCTTAAAAATTGGTGAATACAGGCTCTTTGGAAGTTCTCTGTATTATACTTGAAATTTTGAAATGTTTTGTTACCTGGGAATTATTTCGAACTAAAGAGTTTCAAAAAAATGTAAACGAGGATTATCTTATTCATCTTTCTCCTTCCTCTCTGACTTAGCAGGCCTTGGATATGTTTGTAAAATAAAGGCCGGGTGGGAGGAGTGTGGGATCCATGGCATCTGAGACCCCCAATTCCTCCCTCCTCACTGAAGGAGTTGTCTGCCTTTGACAAAGTTTCTGAGTCACATGGGAAGCAGGTGTGCGGCTCACTGGCCTTTGGCTTCCTGTTGCTGTCTGCACCTGGCACAAAGGTGCATTATTTGCACTCCAGCCTGTGGTGTACAGTGGCAGGCTGCCAAGGGAGGGCGGGCACAGGGAAAAACTGACAGGCCGGGCGGGTCCTGGGAGGTCAGAGCACCACTGAGGCAATCGTGGTTGGTGATACCCTTCGTTCATAAGCGTCTGCTGTCTTCAGAGGACACAGCCAACATCCAGCAGCTGTCTTACATTCAATTTCAGAGTAACTGAGTGCCCACTATGCAAATTATCTGCACCCCCCAGTACTGGGGTGCGCAGTTTATAACCTACTGGAGGGGGTCGGTGGTAAGCAAGCAAGGCGCTTCCTGCCTGCTTTGAATACCTCAGTTTTCTTGGATAGCTTCCACTGTTGACTTCTAGCAAGACTACTCTAATAACTGGAAGATGGTCACCACTGGCATTTGTCTCTTAAAAAACATTAATAATGACAAGCCCGATATGTTCGTATTGCGGTAGGCTGCCACTATGGCCGATGACACTCACCATCTACATGATAAAATGTCTGTCACACCATGAACCATCACAAGAAAAAGGAAAAAGGATTTTACTTGTCTGTTTTCAGAGAACAGAGCTTTCACAAGAATTTCTGGGACAGAAGGAGGAAGGCCAGGAGAGAGGCTCCCCCTGGGCTGTCAAGGTCACTGGGGTGACAGCAGTCAGACTCTCTCCTTGGTCTGGCCCAGTGACCAGCCCAGCCAAAGCCACCATCCTCTGCCAAGAGCACCTCACACTTACCTTTGGTACTGAGCTGTGAAAGTCAGATTCCCCTTGGGAAAAGCAGGTGACTCCCACTGTAGAATGTTCCTGAAATTAACTGAATTCATTCTGACATTTTCAGGTGGTGGCACCGTTCCTAATGCTGTAAAAATAAAGGGAAAAAAGTTGGCAACCCTCTTCCTCTAAAAAGCTGTCCAAGAAAATAACCATATCCCATACTCAGGTCTTCCCTATGGCTCCAAGTCTTCAAATGGGCATGTGGGTGAAAGAGAGACATGTTTTAGCTGTGCTGAGGAGTCTGGATTGTATCTGAAGAGAAGAAATTGCTAAGGGGAGGAGGATAGTAAGAGTGAAGTGGGGAATGGCTGAGGGTGACCTGGATTTGGGTGGTGGTAGAAAGGTGTGAAGGGGTGGGTAGGTGGATTTTAGATATATTTCCAGAGGTATAAAATCTAGGTTTCCTGATACATTTGGTGTGAAGAAGTAGATGTTAATATCCATTCCTGGCTTAAGTACCTGATGGCCTGACTGGAGCTGGGGACAGGGAAATCAAGAGTCCCAGTTTAGAATCTGCATTAGGTTTGAGATGCTGAAGGATACGTAAGTCGGTATATCAGAGACAGCTGGATGAATGAGCCTGGGGCACAGAATATAGATTTGGGCTAGAGACAGAAATTGTTGTTAAACTTTTTAATAGAAAATGCCAAACATACACAAAAGTACAGAGAAGAGTATATTAAACCACCACCGGCCCATCACCCAACTAATGCCAACAGATGTAAATTTGAGAGCCATGAGCCCATAGCTGGCATTTAATGCTAGAGTTCTGCTGATACCCCCCAAAAGGGATAGTGTAGGGGAAGGAGAGAAGAGGGCTCGGGCACGAACTTGGCTGTATGGAGATCTGGTAGAGGGGGAGTATCCCAAATAGAAACAGGCTGGTAGGTAGGAGGGAAACCGGAGAGCAAGGTACCCTGGAAGACCAGGGATGAGTTCATCAGAAAGGAAGGAGGGATCCACAGCGCTGTTTGAACCTGGGCTGGCAATTTAGAGCAGGACAGGAAGGGTTTCACTGGACTTAGAACTCAGAAACCATAGAGCTGCAGAGTTGAGGGGCAGAATTCAGATCTTGGGGTGCTGGGGACTTAGTGGGAGGCCCTGACGGCCCGCCCAGGCACTTAGTCACTTTGAGTGCGCCTCTGGGGTCCGCTCAGGGGTCGTCTTTGGTGCCATCGCTGCCCGACGTCGTTGCGGGGCCTCCTGGTTCCCGAGCGCACCTCGGGTCGGGACGCAGCGCCACGGCGGGGCCGGGTCTCCGCGCAGGCAGCCCGGCTTGGGAAGCGCGCTGGGCGCGCGACTGAGCCGACACTCCGGAGAATGCCTGGCGTCCCCTCCCCGCAGACCCCTCACCTGACACCAGGAGGCAGCCGCCCAGCCAGCTCCGGAGGCTCTGCGCCATGGTCGCGCATGGAGCCCGGGAGGGCGCTCGGGGGGGCCGCTGGCAGCCGCCGGGTACCGGGGTACGCGCCCCTACGCCCGCTTCCGCGCCAGGGTAGGGGAGCTCCGGTGCCCCCGCCCCGAGGCTGCTTCCGGGAACCGGCGGGGCGGGGCGACACGAAGTCCCGCCCCTGCCTCGGACCCCGCCCC